GCTGGCCTAGCCTAACCTAGAGATAATTATAATCACATAGAGTCCACTAACAACTGAACGAATGCATGAATGTCATGGGTCGATCTCTCTTCTCAAAAACCGCGCCGCCGTCTCATACGCTATGTTCTTCTGTTCCAGTCCATTCGCATCAAGTTTCCTATACTTATCCCAAGCATGACCTACGCCAGGCATCTCGTGATAAAACACTGTCGGCAATGCTGTCGGATCCCGACGCCTAGCATATATCAACCCAGCTGCCAACGTCCTGGTGTCCGCGGTCCACGGATCCCCTTCAGCTGTAATGAATAGTAACCTTCGCGGAAATCTAGTCTCGTCCTGCTGGCGAATAGGCGAAAGCCTCGGATCGTCCACCATGTTAGGACGGTTCCCACGCAAATAAGACTGGACAGTCGACTCCATCACCCATGCCGGCATCACTCCACCCGTCCCCCTTCTCATTTTCTTCCTTATTACCGGTTCCATAAGCTGAATCTTGCGCTTCTCTGGATACGACAAATCCGTGACCGGATAAAACACAACCGCGGTTTCAAAAGTGTCCCGGGGGGAACTAATAGCCGTAGCCAGGGCCAAATTTCCCCCAGCACCGAAGCCACAGATAGCCAAGTGGTCGAGATCGTATTCGTCACGATGGTGCCCGAGATATTGCAATACGTCCTGGATGTCCTCGAGAGCTGCAGGGTATGGGTACTCCGGGGCGATACGGTACTCAACGTCGAGGACTACGAAGGGGCTATTTTCACGTGCAACAAGGTGAAGGAATTCATCGTCGATGCCATGAGATTTGACGCAGAAGTTCCTGCCGCTGAGATGGATGATGACTGGAGCTGCAGCGCTGTTGTTATCCATTCCGCAGTACCAATTGACGCGTATCATGCGTCCAGTTTGTCGCGACTCGACTTGTATGGTCCCCTTGGCATGGGCTGGTCCGCCTTCTGGCATGGGGTAGTGCTTTTCGACCAATCTGCGATGTTGGCGAATGCGGAGGTCCGTCCATCTCCACCAGCTAAGCCGATTTGGGGTGGTTTGGCTCTGTATAGGCTGGTTTTGGATGGGCTGGTTTCGGGCGTTCGGGTTCTGGAGTGCCTGGTTTGCGTTTGCCATGGTAAGAGTGATGATGGTGATATAAGATATAACAAGTTGTAGCGAATGAACAAGTACGATAAGATGATGGAATCAAGAGAAAGGAATGTTGTGGAAGAGATTGGCAAGAATAGAGAAACCATCGTTCGCTTTATAACCAGGAGATGATGCCTCCAGAACAAGAGAGGAAGGAACTGAGAAGGAGAACGAAGTCGTGACTAAAGATGTCTCTTTTGGGAAGTCATGTTGGCCTTGGGACAGGACTACCCAATTAGGCAACTCAAGATACGTTCCTCCATCTATCTTCCTTTCCTCATCCCTCCCTCTCTCTCGCACACACACAAACACTCGCACGTACATACAAGCATGTACACTAACTGTTTTTATCCCGTTAATGCAGTTTGACTAGCCTGATGCGCTGTACTCCTCACCACCCTGGTCCTATTTGCATGATGGAAAGATGTTATTACAGCTTTTTCGTTTCTCGGGGCTGAGGTCGAATTCTAGCCTGGAAGCGCACTCTCTACACGGATTGATGATCTGTACGACCCACTATCTATTATTTATCAAGGCTCTGATCCTCTGCCATGTTCTTCCTCGAATAGGCTTGGTAGAAAGGGGAGAAAGGGACGATGGTAAGACAAACTATGGAGGAGCAGACGTCGAGATAGTAGACTATGAGATATTAGACATTGGAGGAACGAACGAGAGAAATACCGGTCAGGAGAAGCTACAAAAATTGTGGAAGCCCCACTATATCTGCCCTTATCATACAGCACCGGATCCTAACAAGCTCGACGGTATGAAAGTCACCAAGCTCTGGCGGACGAAGGCCGAAATCGTGAACGTGTCTTCGATTGGACGTTGAAACATGGAGCCAATGTCACCGTCCACGAAGCTGATAACCTCCTCTGACTTGAAAAGTATGCCTCAGCGGTGCCAATTCCTAAGCTCCTGGCTTGCTACACTTGGATAGAGCAGATTTTGCAGCCCTGTTATGCGGAGGGTTTGTTGTATCAGGATCTCGAGGAGATGCGCTCAAATTCGAGAGTATCTTCCACTTCGGTGCCTTTTATGCACCTTTTTGCTTAAATGAGCATTACTGACCCGGTTGCTATAGCTGGCCCTTACATTCCTAGGGTAACTCTTCTTCATAGCTGCTAAGAGTGTCAATCTATCCAGCTACGCAGCATGAGCGGTGCAAGTTAGGGTTATTCATATTAACTTACTACTCTTCTGAAATGAGAATATGAAGCAAGTATCCCAATTAGACGTGCAAGAGAGTCATACCACTATTCTAGCCCTTATACCTCCAAATAACTAGACAGTACTCAGACTACGTCTGAAATATCCATCTAGGATCCCTATCTCCAATAAAGTCCCCCTCAGCATCCCCCACATCCCCCATCAACGCTTCCATCCCCTCCCTCTCCCTCACCTCCGCCTTAACCCTATTCTCCCTCCTCAACACCTCCCACAACACCCCCACAACCACCAAATTGGCCACCAAATACCCCAACGCAAACCCATGACCCAGAAAATACCTCGGACTCGTCTCCGTCCGATACAACTGCGTCCCCAACACAGCGCCCAAATTCCCAATGGAAATTTGCATCGCATTCGCAATACATCTCTTCGTCTGACCGGAGACATTATTCGCCGGCCACGATAAGACGATCGCCACGGCGGGGTAAATCCCCGCTGCAGCGAAGAACGTCCCTAGATAGGATACCCCAGGTCGATGGTCAGTTAGTAGAAGGATATAGCCTATGCATGCTAGTGCCGAAGAACCCAGAATGAAGGGCGCGCGGCGGTGCGTGCGCTCTGATAGGATGGCGACGGTTATGGTTAGAACGAAGGCAACGGCGTAGGGCGGGACGGTAAGGAGTTGGGCTTGCGCGGATGTGTAGCCTAGGGCGGAGATAATTGTTGGCTATAATTTTATATAGATGTGATTGTTAGTGAGTGCTATGTGTTGTGTGTATGGAGGGAAAGTAGCTCACCATGAACAAAGATAGAGTGTAGAGTGGAAGCGACATCGTATGAAATGCTAATCCGTATAACCAGACTTTGATATCTTTGAAGGCGTCGAAGACAGCACTCCAGGTGAATTGCTCGTCGCGGGTAGAGTCGTTATCGTTCTTCAGACGGAATTGGATGAATTGGCGCTCTTCGGGGGTTAGGAATTCGGCTGTTGAGGGGTAGTTGTAGACCCAGAAGTAGGCGCCGATGGACATGAGGACTGTTAGGAGGCCTTCCTTTATTTTTTTACCTTTTCGTTAGTTGGGGTTTGAGGTAGGGGAGGTGGGGATGGTACCAGGATGAAAATCCATCTCCAGCCGCTGTATCCGCCTACGCCTTTCATGTGGGCTATTCCCTGTATTCATCATTAGCTTGGCTAGAATAGAAAGGGATGGGGTACAAACCCATGCTAAAATCCCTCCAAAAGCACCTGCCAACGAAGCAGCACTGAAGAATAAAGCTACGCGGTAGTGTTGCTCGTTGCGTTTATACCACATTGATAGGTAGAAGACGACGCCGGGGAAGAGGCCACTTTCTGCTATGCCGAGGGCTGATTTATCACACTTTTAGCATTGTACATGTTATGATACGGTAGGTTTAGCGGGGAGGGGGGTATGTGTGTACCAGTTCGTGAAGTTAGATATCCCGCATAGTTTTGCACCACGCCCAGAAGCGTCGCCACAACACCCCAGACTAATGTTAATGTGGGGAGCCAGATCCGGGGTGTGGTTTTCTTCAAGACGATGTTGCAGGGTACTTCGAAGAGGACGTAGCCGATGAAGTAGAGGGTTAGGCCGGTGAGGTATTGGTCTCCTGCTGTTGTTTGGTTAGGGTTTATTGCTATGTGATGTGATATGGTAGGGGTGGGTGGTACATACACATGTGGATCTCAGTGGCCATGCCTTCGAGTCGGGCGTTTCCCACTATAAGATTGGAGTATTGGTTAGGTTTGGGGGACTTTTATCGGGTGCAAAGAAAGGGCGAGGGGGTACCATTGCTGCGATCGAGGAACGATAAGAGATATAGGATGGTTAGTGGTGGGAGGAGACGAAAGTCTAGTTTGCGAAGGAGAGCTTTCTCGTTGATGTTGGTGAGGCTGCTTGTGCTGGGGGAGGCGGCCTTTTCGTCGGCCTCTATTGTCTTTTCGGGTGTGGATGCCATGCTGCTCATAGCAGAGGTATGGATTACTGTTCCTGACAGTAACTTGGAACGTTGCAGACAGCGTCAAGTGATTAATATTGCATGACGAGACGGGACCATATAAGGGTTTGCTGGAGTGGTACTCCACGTGGGACAGACATCATGGCGGCCGCGATGAAAGGCATTGTCAGGGACCAGAAGGGTCAATCCTTGCCCGCTATGGAATATTTGCATACACGAGCCGATGCGCAATATGGAGCGGTGATGGCGAGATTGGTGGAGTAATCCACATAGGAGGAAGTAAAGTTAACAAGGTTTGGGGGTGGGGGTAAATAGGTAGATGTTCCTGGTGGTGATGATGGATTGTTTGATGGTAGACCCACTACCTGGATATGATATGTAAGACCTGCATAGTATTGGTGAGAAATTATGTTGCTCTGTAAGTGAAATTCAGACTGCTGATCTTGTATTGAACAGTTGATAGTTATTCTGGGTACACAGTTAAGTGATGAATAAGAGGCGCGAGGTGGTGTATTCTGGAGGAGAAAGCACGCCATCTGCAGCCCGCTCAACGTCATCTGGCTCACTCGGTCGAGAGCTGAGATGCTAAATTATACTATCTGGTTCATCGCTCAGACCAGTTGGCAGCGTTTCTTAAATGCATAATATGAGCATAACTAATTTGCATAGTAATTTATGTAGGAAGTGTGAAGTGTTATGCAAAGGTAACCCTCATTCTTACTAATAATACTTAAAAGTTAGATTTGTCCAGCATAGACTGGAAGTACAAGTATACAAGGTTTAGACTGGAAGTACAAGTATACAAGGTTTAGAAATGGAATGAATGGGAAATAGATGGCATCGAATAATCATCATAATATTGTTGCGAGACATGATCAACATTTCTCGGTGGTATCTTGTTAGTAGTCGTCAGGGGTATCTCTTGTTGTTGTCCATCCCACCCAAAATGTCCCGAAGAATTCAAACGCCAGTCCAGTATTCCCAAAACCCAAAGTCCGTCCATCCAAACCCAATGATAAAAGAAAAGAAACAAGGGGGAAAAGGTAAAAGAAAAGATAACACGCCAAAAAAATCAAAGAAAACGCCAAACACAACAGAAAACACCACACACACACACACACGAAACACACACATAACGAACACGACACACACAACACACAGAACACACACATAACACACACACATCACACACAATACATAATACACACATCACATACATCACACATAACGGGATGATTGTGTTCAAGGAAATTCATCTAATCTATCATGCGGGCATTCTAATCGCCTCGCAGCCTACGCGGTATATGTATAACACTGCTTAACTTTTCGAAAAACACCAGCCAATGCGGAAAAAAAAGGAAGAAAAGCAACACGCAACGTAAATCACACATGATGCTTGGAGGTCGCCATTCAGACCTGTGAAACAACGCCACAGAAATCCTTGGGTTCCCTCAAATCGTAGTACTCGTCAATACCCCGGAATGACCTAAGGCGCCAGAATCAACGCAAGCAGAGCCATACGGCAGTAGAGACCATATCTCATCTGTAGTCCAACATCAGCATCATGTTCAGTCAATGGGGCGGGGGAGAAACTAACCTGGCGGAAGTAGGCCGCCCGCTGGTCGAAGTCAACTTCCTCCGAGATCTCCGCGTTACGGGGCAGAGGGTGCATCACGACCATGTGGCTCTTGGCGTGCTTCAGAAGAGCGTTGTCAATGACGAAGCTGTTCTTCAGACGCTCGTACTGAGCCAGATCGCTGAAGCGCTCCTTCTGCACACGAGTAGAGTACAGAACATCGGAGCGGGCAACGATCTCAGGAGTCAGCTCCTCAGACTCCACAACAAGCTGGCCGGAGGCAATGACTTGCTGGCGGACCTCCTCGGGCAGGGAAAGATCCTTGGGCGCAACCAGCTGGACGCGAACATCGTAGAACTGGAGCAGCTTCAGCAGCGAGTGCACAGTGCGGCCGTAACGCAGGTCACCAGTGAAGGTGATGGTCAGGCCGGTAACGGTGCCGAGCTCTTCACGGATGGTGAAGAGGTCAAGGAACGCCTGAGTGGGGTGCTCAACACTGCCGTTGCCACCGTTGAGGATGGGGACGGGAGAGAACTTGGCCGCGGTCTCGGCGCTGCTGGGATCGGGGTGACGCAGAACAACGGCATCTCCGTAGCAGCCGAGAGTGCGGACGGTATCCTGCAGGGTCTCACCCTTCTTGGTCGAGGAGTGCTCGGTGGAGATGGCAATGGTGCGGCCTCCCAGACGCTGCATGGCAGCATCGAAAGAAGCGGACGTCCGGGTGGAAGGCTCATAGAAGAGAGTGCACAGAACACGGCCCTTCAGGATATCAAGCACACCCTGGCGCTGGACTCCCAGGCGCATCTCCTGGGCCACAGTGAAGAGCAGGTGCAGATCAGCCCGAGTGAACTGGTTAACGGACAGCACGTGCTTCTGTCTGAAGGTGGACCGAGAGAGCATCTCAAGAAGAGAGGAAGACACCTGGGGAACGGGGGTGTACAGAGGAGGTCCAAGCTCTCCGACAGCAGGGGCCTGCTCAGCAAGCTTGCGGCCAGGGCGGAGAGGAGTTCCAGAGAAGGACAGTCTGCGGTCGAGAGAGCTCTCGGGGCGAGCATGCACCATAGGGGACATGGCCTTCACGGAAGGAGAGGCGGGCACAATCCGGTGGGTGGACATGTCGGTTCCAGTGGAAGCATCGGAGATGATTTCACCGTCAAGGCAAGAGGTCTTACCCTGGAAAACAACACGCTGCACAGACCCTCTAACGTTCTTGCCGTTGAAAGGAGACCAAGCACCCTGGGGTGCCTGGAACAGGTACGGCCGGTCAACCTCAATCTCGACGGAGCTGTCGGCCTGGTCGTGAAGCTCGAAGATCTTCTTGGGGTTCTCGTAGAGACGAGAGACAATGTCCTCAACAGTCAGGCGACCCTCCGAGACGGCAGTGAACAAGAGCGGCAGAGTCTCGGCGATACCGGCGACTGGAGAGCTCTTCTCACCAGCAACCTGGTAAGGGATGCTGCCGACAGAGAAGACATCGATGGTGCTCAGGTGCTCCCACAAGGCCTTCTGGTCCTCAACCGAGGGCAGTGAGCTGCACTCGGGGAAGTCATCCTTCGTAAGGAACAGACTGTAGACGGAAACATCGCAAGTCACCTTAAGACCCTTCTCTTTGCTGAGAGCAATGAGACTGATGTCCTCCTTGGACGACACACTCATGACGTGAATGTTGCGGCTGTGGAGGCTAGCCAACAGCAAGACGGAGGCCAGGTCAGTAGACTTGGCATCGGTGATGATAGGCTTGCTGGACGGCCAGTTACCGAAGTGGTTGGTGACCGTAGCAACCTTGCTGATGTTGCCAGACAGGTGGTTGAAGGGGATGAAGAGCGAGCCCACGTCTCCCGTCACTTGTCCGATCTGGTCGGCGTTGTCAGCAGTGGCCACAACAGAGAAGTTGAAGTCGCAGAAAGAGGACTTCTCAGCATTCTGTTGGGCAATCTTCAGGGCACGAGCATCGGTGACCGAAGCGTCAACACCAACGGGCATCACGCGAACCATGCTGAAACCAGCGGCAATAGATGCCTTAGTCATGGCCTGGAAGTCAGGGGAGCCAGGAACCATCAGGTTGGGCACGAAAGCAGCGACGTTGATCAAGCCGGGCAGGATGATAGTGCGGTGGCTGGTCTGGTAGTCAATGGTCTGCACGTTGAGAGCAAAGTGGCGAGCAATGGCCTCAATGAGGATCTTGGCGTTCTTGACGTTGGTGACCAGAGGAGTCTGGTAGTCAACAGCCATACGACGAGTGCGGTAACCCTTACTCATGTAGTTGGCAGGACGTCTGAACCGGTTGTTGGACGGCAAGTTGATGTACAAGTCAATCAGGTTGTTGGCCAAGTGCTGAGTGAGCGAGTACTCGGACTTAATGTCCTCCTCCTCTCCCGGAAGGATCTCGAGATACTTGACGGGAACGCCGTTCTCCTTCAGGAAATCAGCAGTACCGGAGGTGGCGAAGAGGTTGAACCCAATCTGGTGCAGCTTGCGGATCGAGGGCAGCATCTCCATCTTCTCCTTGTAGGAACCGATAGAGAACAGCACGTTACGCTTGGGAAGGCGGAAACCGGTGGAGATCAAGGCCTTGAGGTAGGCTTCGTACTTGTCACGACCGAAAGATGCGACTTCTCCAGTGGAGGCCATCTCGACACCCAGGACGGGATCGGCACCCGAGAGACGAGAGAAGGAGAACTGGGGCACCTTCACACCGACGTAGTCCTTAGGGATGGAAACAGGGGGATATTCAGCGAAGGGAGCGCCGATCATCGCCTTAGTAGCCATCTCAATGAGATCAACGCCCATAACCTTCGAGACGAAGGGGAAAGAGCGAGAAGCTCTGACGTTACACTCGATGACCTTGATGTCGTTGTCCTTGGCGATGAACTGGATGTTGTAAGGACCAGTGACGTTCAGAGCGTTTCCGATCTTCCGGGTAGCCTCCTCAATGCGGCGAACGGTCTCGGGATCCAGGTCCTGCGGGGGCAGGATCAAGGTGGCATCACCAGAGTGGACACCGGCGTTCTCAACGTGTTCAGAGATGAAGTGTCCAACCATGACACCGTTGCGAGCCACAGCATCCATCTCAATCTCCTTGGCGTTCTCAATGTACTTGGTAATAACCACAGGGTGCTCACGGGAGACCTCAGCAGCCTGGTTGAGGTAGCTGGCCAAGTCGTGCTCAGAGTAGACAGTGTTCATGGCAGCTCCGGAAAGCACGTAAGAAGGTCTGACAAGCACAGGGTAGCCGACCTTGTTACAGAATTCGGTAGCCTCCTCAGTGCTAGTAAGCTCCTTCCAAGCCGGCTGGTCAACTCCGATACGGTCAAGCATGCGGGAGAACTTGTAACGGTTCTCAGCACCATCGATCATCTCGGGTGAGGTACCAAGGATGCGAACGTTCAAGCGGTGCAGGGGCAGAGCAATGTTGTTGGGAGTCTGACCACCCATGGAGATAATCACACCGCTAGAGGACTCCAACTGGTAGATGTCAAGGACGGTCTCCAAGTTGATGTTCTCGAAGTACAACCGGTCAGCCTCATCATAGTCGGTACTGACAGTCTCCGGGTTGTAGTTGACCATGACCGTCTTGTGGCCCTGTTCACGAAGGGTACGGATAGCCCGCACGGAACACCAATCGAACTCGACGGATGAACCAATGCGGTAAACACCAGATCCGAGAACCATGATACCCTTGTCCTCAAAGTTGACATCGTGCTCAGAGGCGTTGTATGTGAGGTACAAGTAGTTGGTGACCGAGGGGAACTCAGCAGCAACCGTATCGATCTGCTTCACAATGGGAATGATACCAGACTCGACACGCAGACGTCTGATAGCCAGCTCGTTGGAGCTGAGGAACTTGGCAAGCTGACGATCCGAGAAACCAAGCTGCTTGGCCTGGCGGATGAGGGGCCTGGGCACACTGGTGGCATTGTATTGGGTCATGAGCTTGCTGAAGTCGCTAAGACCCTTAAGTCTGCTCAGGAACCACTTGTCGATCTGGGTAAGCTTCCAGATATCGTCGACGCTGTAGCCAGTAGCCATGGCGTTGGCAATGGCAAACAGACGCTGGTCAGAGGGAGTCTGCAGTTCGCCCTTAATGGACATGAGGGCATTGGTCTCGTTGAATCCAAGGTTGTGGAAGTCGACGGAGCGGATAGCCTTCTGAATAGCTTCCTCGAAAGTACGTCCGATAGCCATGACCTCACCAACACTCTTCATGGAAGAACCGAGCTGGGTGGAGACACGGGTGAACTTCTTGAGATCCCAACGGGGAATCTTCACGACACAGTAGTCAAGGGAAGGCTCGAAGCAAGCGCAAGTGACCTTGGTGACCGAGTTCTTGATCTCGTTCAAGGGGATACCCAGACCAAGCTTGGCAGCGATGAAGGCAAGAGGGTAACCAGTGGCCTTGGAAGCAAGAGCAGAGGATCTGGACAAACGAGCATTGACTTCGATAATGCAGTACTCCTTGGAGAAGGGGTTCAGCGCATACTGAATGTTACACTCTCCGACAACACCAAGGTGGCGAATGACGTTGACGGCAGTTGTACGCAGCATGTTGTAGTCTTCGTCAGAAAGAGTCTGGGAAGGAGCGACAACGATAGAGTCACCGGTATGAATACCGAGAGGGTCGAAGTTCTCCATGTTACAGACAGTGATGCAGTTGTCCCTGGCATCACGGACGACTTCGTACTCGATTTCCTTCCATCCCTTCATACTGCGCTCAATCAGCACCTGAGGACTGGCAGCGAAAGCCTTGACGCAGA